AATCTTTCCAAGGATTAATCTTTGGGTCACTGATTTTCTTCACACATATCATTAGCATCTTGACCTATGTCAGCTACCTATCCTAGTCACTTTTCTTTAATCCTAATACACAGCCTCTACTTTCCAGCACTTCCACTCACTACTTTGGCGATGTCACTCTTACCATAAATGTTAGGGGACAAAGGTGATACTTTATTTTGTCAGACTCTTTGTAAAAAAAAAAAAAAAAAAGTAACTCAAGTTTTACCAGAGGCAGCCCCTCAACTCCTACTGAGATGCTTAAATTACTGAGAAGAAAGAGACTAAGTGCAACTGAGCAGAAAACTCTCATCCTTCGTGAGATAGGTCTGCTAGCGGCACCTGGCACCTCTTATGAAATGGAATCCTTGGCAGTCTTTGAAGGAACAGAGGAGAGGATATATATATATGTATATGAAACAAACTTTAGTGAAAAAGAATGGAACGGATTATATAAAGGTCAAGACTTAGAGAGTATTAAATATGAAAGAGACTATAAAATAATTTATGTTGAAAACTTTGAGGTAATGATAGTCAAAAAGGTACTTTTTTTTTTTTTTCTTTTTGAGATATCATCTATGTCACCCAGGCTACAGTGCAGTGGCATCATCATAGCTGACTGCAACCTCAAACTCCCAGCCTCAAGTAATTCTCCTGCTTCAGCCTCCCAACAGTTGACACTGCAGGTATGGCTATCACACATGATTTTTTTTGTTTGTTTAATTTTTATGGCTGTCAATATGCTGTTCAAGCTGGTCTTAAACTCCTGGCCTCTCACTGTGGCCTTCCAGAGTGCTAGAATTATAGGTGTGAGCCACCATGCCCAGCTATAAGGTGTATTTATTCTATTGAAAATGTATGCTGAGGAAACAGAAACACTAAGGAAATAATGTTATAAAGATAACTACTGAATATTGCTTCAGTAGTCCTAAATGTGTATCCTGAAGACAGAAAACTGTCAAATCTTGAGATTTTTGGAAAAACACAAAGTTATAGAAAAAATACCAATTCTCAAACTAAAAGTTACCACACAGATATTACAGAAGCATAGAGAATGTTAGCAACCACATTCAAAACCAAAAAAGCTTGGTATCAAGTACACTGATTTCACGCACACACAAAAATCACTATATCAGTTTAGAAATTTAAAGCTATTTTGAAGAAAAGCTAATTTTTTTCAAAGAGATTTAAAGTGATGATTGTATTAAGCTGATTGGAAAAGGATGATTGTTCTTTTTAAAGTAATCCTTTATCTGTATTAATAAGAACTATGAACAAAGAAGACAAACATACAACTATCACTGTGACACATATTAGAAATGAAAAAGGAAAAGAGTCATTTTTTTGACCTGGACTGTCATGATGAAGAAATAAGCCTATCTATGTTTTTCTACAAGGCAAATTAGATTCAAAGAAAAAGTGTTAGCTGGTGTGATAGTGTTCAAGAAAGATTTGTTTCTACTTACAAGAGGAAGAAACTAATTCTTAAAAAAGTAAAAACATGTTGGTGCTGGCAATTTTCTTTCTTGTCTTCTTAATGCCATGTGAAAAACAAGTTTGAATAATAGACTGACATGCAATCAAACCTAAAGGAATGAGTTCCCAACTGTAAACGCATTCTAGAAAATGCTGTGAACAAGCCTGCCAACAGCAATCATCGTTAAATGAATACTGACCATTATGTGCTCACACTATCTGGAAAATCCAGAACCCCCAGCAGGCTTATTATGGAAATGAAGAACATGGGCAGGGAATGGGACCTCATCTGAGAGGACCATCAAAAGCTTCAAGAAGTGTGGCAGATCAAATTCAACAATGGAACCAAAGATGACATTCTGTGAAAAAAATGAAGCAGAATGGAAAAGAAACTTGGGCAGTAAAGTGGAGACAATATCAAATGTAGATAAGGCTCTGTTCTTGGTGTACTTTTAATCATTACATTTTCTGTAATATGCAATATAAGAATATGGAAAAATACCATTAACATTAAAATATTTTTCAAGAAGTGAGAGTGGCTAAGATTTTTAAGTTGGCTTATATTCAGGAAAATATGGCACATTCCAATTAAAATTTCAGTTCATCAAGTAATTCCCTACAGCAATTCTAGAAAATAAAATGGGATAAGTCTTACTCTGAAGCAAAAACTCATCTACATATCCCAGATGAAGGGTTTCAAATTGGGGAAACTCCAACTCTGCCATCTTTAGGGCAGAAAAGACACCATCTTTGGTTAGGGAAGGCTGGATTCGAACTTCATGTAACCTAGGAACAAAGAGATGCAACATATAAAATTAAAATGATAAAATGAAAGCCATTAGAATCAAAGATTCTTCCTAATATAAGGCTCTAAATAAGTTTATGCTTTTTAAAGCACCACAGATGTCAGTAACTTTTCCTCCCTCCATTAAAAAATAGCAGAAATGGTTCCTTTAGAGGAGTATTTGCAAAAGGTCGGCACATGTTAGGTAGTACACTAAAGGTACGCATAAATAGACAAAGTAAGAAACCATACATCATTTCAAGTGATTTTCTAAACCTGAGTTACAGTAAGAATCTCATGTGGTGCTAGTATTTCTTTAACATTTTTCTTACACTAGTTTAACAGTCCATTTTAACAAAAGTATAGTTTAATAGTAGGTAACAATACCCACTTAAACTTAAAACCACTTTTATTTTACTTATATTTTTAATTAATATTCTATTAAAGGAAAGTAAGAGTTTTGTTTTTGAATGAATTGAAAAAATGGTTCAAAGAAAATATTATAAAATAAAAGTAGAGGGAGAGCTTTCGTACATAGGAAATACTAAATGAGGCATAAAGCACTAAAGAGGTATGGTTAAAAAATATAAAGATGTTACAAGGTCAGATTTTGGAAAAGCTGATTTAAAATATGGCTTTCTGAATAGCAAATGTTGTCACCAACTAAATAATTTGGAAAATCATCCAGATATTGAGGAAATGATTACTACAAGGGTACAGACACCAGAGCCTCATGCTGACTTCAGTGAGACATTAACTTACAGATATACAACTACTTTTCACAAACAGGAAATTACATCCTTCCAGAGCTTGTTGAGTCTCAAGTGTAATTCAAATGGTCATCAGTTATAACAGTAAGATCACTATGTAATACTCACCTGATTATTAAAACAATTCCTTTTGTATTTTAAACCTGAACAACACATGATCAAACTTCATACACATATACATTCCTAGAGGTTTTTCTAAAATGGGAATAAAACATATAATTAAGACAAAAGACATAATGTGGAAGAGGAAACATACCTACGGGCAGCAGTGATGATGAGGTAACCAAGATCTACTTCAAGGGCATTTTTGCAAGCTCCCAAAACAATAGTGTGCAAATTTCTAAAACCACCTAATGGAGGAAAGGAACAGAAACAAGCGTTTCTTTTGACCTTAGCACTTTTCAGTAAAGCATTTATTTATTTATTTATTTCTATTTTTTCTTTTGCAGTCTTTGGCCGGGGCCAGGTTTGAACCTGCCACCTCAGGTATACGGGGCCAGCGCCCAACTGCTCTGAGCCATAGGCGCCACCCTTCAGTAAAGAATTTATATACACACTGGATGATCATTTGTTTAACAGTAAATCTAAGTTTTGTTTTTACATTTAAATATCTCAAGATGAAATGTAATTATTTATCAATTCCTAAAAAGAGAAGAAAACAGATTACTCATTTTGAAAAGACTCTGATGGGTCTTTCAAAATAAGAAGTTAACTGATCAAAGTATTCTATGATAGACATACTTCTATCTGACAATGTGAATGTTACTTTCTTCGCATTATTACTATTATTATTGCCTAATATTTCATTGCAGCAATCGTCTGATTTCTTTTCTGAATGTATTTATCTTCTTTCATTCTTTATGAAGTTTTTGTTCTCAGTCCTTATGTTAAATATTATTGTCATTAAATTTAGCCTTTTAATTCTGTGAAGGCAAAAGTGGAAACCTAATATACACATGTATATGTAGGAAAAATAAATTAAAAAAAAAAAAGAAAGAAAAGACTCTGACGGGTGAAAACTACTCTAAAAGATTTAGACTGTAAAAATTTTCAGAATGCCAGATGCCTGTGAGAATTCTATAGGGGCCCTGCCATTTTCTGGCCAAATTTTGAACCTCCAATATATCATATGGTATAAAATAAGCACTACTTCAACTAATTTATTTTCATGTTTTTGAAACTTGCATTTATATACAAGAAAGGACACAATTACTGTATACCTTAATGAATTTTCACAAAGTGATTGATTTGTCTGTTTTGAATTTTTATAACATCATGAAGTATATGTATTTTTGTGTCTGGCTTCTTCCACAAAACACTTTGTTTATGTAATTTACCCATATTATTACATGAAGCTGTAGTTTATTCATTCTTATTGCTGCATAGTATCCTATTGTATGAATATACTACATTTTAATTACCCACTCAACTGCTGGCAGGCATCTGAGTTATTTAGGCATGGGGTCTATTAGGAACCGTGTTTGTATGAACAATCTCAAATATGTCTTTTGGTAAACCTAAGTATACATATTTATTGAATTTAAAGCCAAGAATGCCAACTGTTGCTATGTGTATAGTCAACTATAGTAGATGCTACTGAACAGTATTTCAATTTGTACTCTTACCAGGAGCATACAAAAGACCCTGTTGCTCCACAATCACACCAACACTGTTGTTTATCTTTTCCGTAAGCATGCACAGGTGTAGTCATTTGTGTTTGTGTATCACAAAGAAGTTTTAATTTGCATTTCCTTAATGACTGGTAAAATTTATTAATTTTTCTTGTTTACTAAACCTATATGGTTAGTCTCATATGAAGCCTTTTCAAGTCTTTTCCTATTTTTTCTATTGGGTTTCCCACCTTTTTCTTATTAATTTCAGGAATTCTTTATATTTTCTCAGTACAAATCATTTAGCTGTATTGCAAATAGCTTCTCCCATTCTGTAGCTTGGCTTTTCCTTCTCTTAATCATGCTTTTTGATGAACAAAATATAATCCTAATTTGTTCCAGTTTAACAATTTTTTAAATTTATGATAAGTGCTTTTTGGTGTCCTGTTTAAGAAACCTGTGCCTACTCAAGATCAATAAGACATTCTTTTATGTTTTCTTTTAAAAACTTAATTCTTTTATTTTGCATATTTGGATCAATGATCCATCTGGAATTAATTTCTCAGTGAGGTATGCTGACTCCTTGACGGTCATCCTTAAATACCCTCAAGAGAAGAAAAGTCTCTGTTTCTCTTGTAGGGAGCTTTACATAAAGTTTTAACTTTTGATCTCTTTAGTGAATGGTTTAACTGTGGCCTTCTTTTCCCTTCTGACTTTTATCTTGTCAGCCGTAGCCATGAATAAGAATAATGGTGTTGGTTTTGAGGGAGCCTGTTATATCTGCTTGCCTCAGTGTAATAAAGTACACCTGTACCAAACTTGCTTAACTGATAAAATGGCTAAAATTGTGAATGTTTACTCTTATTTAAACAGTATTAATAATTTCTTTATGTTACCAATTGTACTTGATAATTTTCCGGTTGTTTTTTTTTTTTGAGACAAGAATTTCAAGCTGTTGCCCTGGGTAGAGTGCTATGACATCACAGCTCAGAGCAACCTCAAACTCTTGGGCTTAAGCAATTCTCTTATCTCAGCCTCCCAAGCAGCCAGGACTACAGGTACCCCCCACAATACCCAGCAACTTTTTGTTGTCGCTGGGCAGTTGTTATTGTTGTTTTAACAATATTGTTATTGTTTCAACCTGCTAGCCTGGGTGTATGGGGCCAGTGCCCTATCCATTAAACTATGGGTGCCGCCTCCATTTTATTTTAGATATCTAGTTAGATTAACTGTTAACTACTTAATTTAGCTCAATCCCTACTTTTTATTTTGTAATAAGATGATTAATAAAATTAACATAAAGCACATTCTGTTACTTGTCCTTATTTAGCTATAAGGGATTAAAAGAGCAAAATATTTTTTTTTCTTATCTATCCAGCTGATAGATAAAAATATCCAACGGATAAGCATGAAAATATCTGGAGGCATGTGGTATCCAAGTCATGAACATCTCTTTCTAAGGTCACTAGAAATCCCTGTTACCATTTCTATGAAAAGATTTCTAATATAATAGAAGGTCTTATTAATCAAGTAATAACCAGCCAGAAAACATGCCTTATCACAATATTATTTATTTTGAGAGGATGTAGCAAGCATAAGAAAGAAAAGAATGCTACCTATGCTCACAGTTACTTATCTCCATCAAAAACACCTGAGAGAAAGTGCAATTACTCATAAGAATTTTATTTTTAAAAGATTCGTAAGAGAAGCTAAATAAAAGCTTAATACATTTTTGAAATTGATTTTTAAAATATTTAGTAACTAAAGAAAATGAGTACCTGATCTCCAACTGTCTTCAACTACATGTTGGATAAGACCTCCAAGAAAAGGAACTCGAACCATTTCTAAATGTTCCAAATTTCGGGCAGAGGCTAAGCCTGTTACTAATGGAACATATTTCAAGGAATTTGTAGGTCCTAGAAAAAAAAACAAATCTTTACTGGAACAATGTAAAATACCTTAAAAATGAATTTCCAAATCAGTGATTAAAATAAATAACTTATAAATTCTGTGTCTTAAAATGACCAACAAATTACTGACTCTCTACAAGTCTGTAATTCTTATTACAAATAAAAGTGTTAGTTGGCCTGTTAATCACATACTTATCCCGTGAGGATTTTTCAGTACCACTGGAGAGTTATACTATGTAAATTCCTTTAAGTCTCAATAGTGTTGAGCTCAAAATGACTTATAGAAAAAAGCCAAGATAAAAATTTAATCCTCTACTCCATTAAATATCTGTGACCAGCACTATAGTAGAAAGCATGTAAAAAAAGTATCACAAAAGTATATGGTCATGTCCATCAAATAAAGCCTATAATGACATGGAGATAGACCTAACATAAATAATTATAAAAGGATAAAAAGGTAGAATGCATCAAGTATAAAAATATGATCTATTGTTTTCTATAAATAAGAGAAAGAGAAGAAGAAGAAAAGTTAGGAAAAACACAGCCTGGAGTATATATATTAAATAAAGAGGAAGAAGGAAGCTTGTGCCTTAGGATAAGGAACAGTAATGTAGCATGAAAGGAAGACCTGAGCAGAAAGTTGTATGGTTCTGT